AACTGCCAGCCTGCCCTTGCAGTCACCCTCAAAATTAATAAAGCAGCAATTCACACTGTATTGAGAAATAATATTATGCACTCATTTCTAATCTAATCACATGCACGAGAAATGGAACGAGAGCAAGAAAAGAAACAGTGACTCAACTTATGTGAGTTACAAAAAGTGCATTGAGCGCATTCAGGAGGCGTAAGATAAGAAAAGCAGCTGGCACATCCTGCATGTTGTGGCAACAAAGCCCGCTCTGTAAAGCCAGGATATTTCATTTGGGAAGTCGTTATGCCACCTCTAGATCTTTCTTTTCTTTTATTCCCTCATGCAACATGTTTAACCCTTTACATGCCGCAAATGCTGGCACATGAAGTGTTGAATCCTAACCTGCAGAACACTTATCTATATAGGTATATATAGTGGTATATATATATATATATAGATATATATATATATATCTATATATATATATATATATTAATATATATATATATATATATATATATATATTTTTATATATTAATATATTATATATATTAATTTCAAATACCTCTTATATGGTATTTGTTAGACTTGGGAAGGAACGTAAAGGGGTGCACCATAACCACTTCATCTCACTGACGTAGTAATGATGCCTCTAATTACCCATTCAGTGTTAACACATTTTAACCTGTTTAATACTAAAGGAGGCTCCCCTGGTGCCCACCGTCCAGATCCGCTTGGTTTCGACATTGGTCCAAGCAGCAGTGGATGGCAGTGATTGGCTGCCACGAGTTGACATGGTAATACCTGCAGAACCATGAATAGATGAATGGCACCTTAACCACTTCAATTAGATCAAGTTGTAATGATGACAAGAGTGTTCTTTTAACTTTACAAATCAGAAAAAAAAAAAACACTGATGATGGTGGAAATAAAAGCCTTTTACCAATTTAAACACATCTGCTGCATTTTACTTTAGATTGTGGTATTATTTTCCTGCAATCTTTAAACAAGCATTACATTGTTGCTGTGAGTTTGTGCGCGAAGTGCGGAATTCCCCGGAGTATGTCAATACCCCATATACATAAATTCCATATCTTAGTTTTGTTTACAGGTCTAAATTTGGAACACATACTGCATTTTCCAAAATGTACTGCACCTATATCTCATGCAGCTCTTCATTTAATATTAACTTCCCAATAACTATTCTTTATACTGCTTCTAACTGTAACAGCAGATTATTTTAAAATTTTGATGAATTTAAACCAAGATCATTTAATTGAAAAAGGCATTAGAGAGAGTAAACGGGATGATTCTGATTTATTGAGCTAAGATGTGAATGTCTTTGAACTATTTAAAAGTATATAAGTCAATGGGACCAGAAGGTATATACCCAAGAGTATCAATAGAGCTACATGCTTGCCCTCCTGATCTTTTGAACCTTTCCTTAATAACTCGAGTTGTACCATAATTAGAGAGTTGCACATGTTGGATTACTTCAAATAGCGATCAGGTTATTACAGGCCAGCAAGTCACACATCTGGAGCGGGCGAACTAATGGAGTAATTGGTGGAGAAAGTAATTGTTTCATTTTTAAAATTAAAGATTTACAAGCTCTATTGTAGCTCTGCTTTAATTGTAGCAGATAAAGTCAGTTTATTGCTTTAACTGAAATGTTAGATAAAGCTGATGCAGAGGATGTTGCTCGTCGGATTTCAGTAGTCTTTGGAGCTGTGTCATGTGCAACGTTTGATCAAAACTGCCCGGTTCGAATTGATAAAAGGATTGTTGAATGGTTAAAGAGCTTGCTAAAATGCTTTATATGTGAAGAGTGTGTCGTCTTTTTTTCATTTTACAAAAAGTGCTGATTAGAATAGAAAAAATTCACTTTTGCAATGCTAATGTATCATCAGTAGAATCTGTTCAACACTTGGGAGTCTTATGTTCAAATCTTGGCATGGCTGACTCAGATAAAATGAGCACTGTCAAATTGGGTTATAGTAACAACCCCTGGATGTTGGGTAAAAACAGGAAATACGTGGAAACCAGAGATTATCTGAATGTACTTTTCCTTGTTAACACTTTGTTTAACTAGGAAAGTCCAATATAGTTTGGAATAGCCTTCCATCTGAAGTAGTAGAGATTAAAACATTGAGGGTGTTTAAAAGGATACTATAGTGCCAGGAATACAAAGCTGTTACTGGCACTATATCTCCCTCAATGCTTTCCTATGGGGAAAAATCTGATGCTGGATGTCCTCATACAGAGAGATACAAAGGTCCATTTCGATTCAGGAAGCCCTCTAGAGGCTATCTGGTAGACAGCCACTAGAGTCTGACTTAGTGTTGCAATGTAAACTTTGCACTAAGTGCAAAAGGTACACTGCACCACTTCAATGAGCTGAAGTAGTCTGGGTGCCTGCAGTGTCCCTTTAAGCATGTGTGGGATAGGCATAAGGCTATCTTTGAACATAAGATAAGGCCAGGGACTAATGACAGCATTTAGAAAATCGGGCAGACTATATGGGCCGAATGGTTCTTATCTGCTGTCACATTCTATATTTACAAATTAACCTTGTTACACCGCTTTGGCTGTCAATCAGACAGACAAGATGCATCAATTGCTCAGAGCACCTGCCTTGCAAAGGCTTCTCATTGAGCTGCATAGGGATGTCTGTGATTGGACAGCATCACAAAGTTTAGCCATGGTTAGAGGGGGAGGCATTGCAAAGGCTTCAGACAAGCAATCTGCAGCTTTTTCAATCTGTTTTAGATATTCCCCAAATTAAAAATGCATAATTTAATGCATATATGTTTTCATTCCAACGTTTGTCTCTAGTTAATAATTTAGGTTAAGTTTTTCAAATAATTGAATATTTTGAAAAATATTTTATTATTTAGATTTTTTATTCTGATATTGTTTTCATATATAATATATTGTTTAATATTTTACATTTTTAGATATTAAATATAAAATTAAGGATTTTTTGCTTTGCCAGATACATATATATATATATTAATATGTGTTTTGAAGTTCACTTTTGCGATGTGTAATGTTCATTTAAATGACACTTGCACGTTGCTTACATAAATAACTTTATGTTTTATGTTATGTGTCTGGTATTTTCTTTTGATATGGTTTATTGTGCATTGATATAGGTACGGACTGAGATGGAGAAGATATTCAATCAGATTTCTTTCATTTTGTTACTAGATTATTATTTTACTATAATGATACTATAGTCACCCCCAGCTTGCCACTCCCAGCTGTAAATGCCTTTTAAGTAACTGTTTTATCTCTCTTCCTTAGCCCCAAGTCACCATACAGCCCTGCAAGAAGGCTTTTAATTTTGCTCGGCTTTACCCGCCCACCCTGGTTCCTTCTACCTATAGAGCATGCTCTTCCAGCTGTTTGGAATCACAGCCAATCACCTCCTTATTACCTTCACATGTTATCAGCTGTTGCAGTTATACCATTAACTCTCTCTGCCATCACATACAAATTCCTCTGCTACTTCAGGTCTCATCTCCCCAGTTTAACCTTTAGATTGTAAGCTCACAGGCAGGGTCCTCTACCTGTTGTATCGGACTGTTCTTATTGTGTTTGTCTTTTTCCCAATTGTACAGCGCTGTGGAATTTGTTGGCCCTTTATAAATGCCAGTAATAATAATAATAATAATAATAATAATATGTTTTTAGGGTTTCAGTGTAATGTCATTTACCCAATATACATGATTCTATTCCCTTATAAAGTATGAAGTTTTACATAGGAATTGGTATGAGGGACAAATTGACAATTATCTGCTGTCAAAATCTATGCGCTCAATTTGTTTGCTATTACAAGAAAGTTATTTCATTTACCAAGTTTAAAATCTGAGCTATAACATAAACAAAAGCTTTTGTCCAGACCAAAAATGCTTCAAAGAACCCGAGAAACTAGTTGGTGGTGTAGATTCCTGTGAGTAAAAAAGTCTATTTTCTGATAAAAATTCAATGCCAAGTGCATGTGTAGGCAACCTTCGGCACTGCAGATATTGTTGACAACATCTCTACTCTAGCTTTGCCAGCATTATGGCTGAAAGAGTATTATGCGAAATGTAGTTCACAACATCTGGAGTGCCAAAGATTGCCTACCCCTGGCTTGGTGATATCATATGTAAGGTGTCCCTAGCCATGTCCTGATAGTCAGACCACCAAACATAATAATAATAATGACAAAGTCTTTAACCAGGAAAGATACATTCAGATATTCTCTGGTTTCCAAGTAAGTGGGTCTTGGGGATGCTACTTTTGCCCAACATCTAGGGCAGGCATAGGCAACCTTTGGCACTGCAGATGTTTTGGACTATACCTCCCATGATGCTTTGCCAGCATTATGGGTGTAAGAGCATTATGGGTGGTGTAGTCCACAACATCTGGAGTGCCGAAGGTTGCCTATCCCTGATCTAGGGGGTGTTACTAAATTACATGAATGTCATATATATATGATGCCACAGCAGGGAGCAACCATCTCGTCATTGGACCTAAGAGTGTGGTGGAGGGTAAAATTATTGTTGCCAGGCTAGGATGTAATTTCATATGGGCTGCTCTAGTAAAAGCCATTAAACCTCTATTTCTCTAATTAATTAAAATACATACATGTGGAGGCAGAGCCTGAATGCAAGCTAACCAGATGTGTCACACACGAGCTCCTGCTACAAAGCGGAAAACCCAGTGATTTCTTGGGCCAAGGTACCTGAAAACATGACAAATAGAGCCCTGCAAGCAGAGGTACCTCACCCAAAAATGTTGCCTCCAAAGCCGACGCACTGAGTGCCCAGGGATTACGCCAGCAGGGTGCGGCCTACCTGTGAAAGCTTGGGGGAAAGATGGCCGCTTTCCTCCTGTGATCCTGAAGCACATCTGAGTGAAACTCTCCTAGCCCCCGGGGGTATATCCCAGTCCCGCCAATCTGCGCTGACACAGACGAAACAGCCCCAGTGGACCCTGTAATACTCCTTAGTGGGTCAGGGGTGGAGGGACCCAAGATGGCGGACACCCAAAGCTTCTCAACACGCTGCCTAACACTGACAAAGCAAGACACAGCAGGCCCCAACACAGCGACACCAAATGCTCTTGATGACCTAATCGACAGATTTTGGGCGAAGCTGTTAAACCAAGTGAGGCAGGAGAAGGCACAGCTAATACCACCTACGGGTGAACATGATGGCAGAAAACGGAAGAGGGGGAAACCTCCCACGATCACTCATACATTTCCAGCTACCACAATCAACAAACGCTGCCCACCTGGGCTAAGAGCCAATAGGGTTTTCACCCGCAAGTATCGGCCACACACGTGGAGAGCCACGAGATACAAACAGAGACCTAAGCAGGAAATGAGCAGCGCCCACCGCACCATGCCTAACGGGAAGATCCTGGACCTCACAGGACACCAGGTTCATGGCACAAGTCTCCAGCAGCCCACGTCCACCTACACCTTACGGGACTTTGTTTCAAACTACATTGAAGATGGCGCAAGATCGGACGGCATATCTCAGCATCCTGTCTAGTGAACTAACCATGATATGTATAATGTATAAGCCTGTTATCCTGTACTCTCTCACTCTGTCCTACATGACCACGCACTGTATGCACCACATATTAGCCTCATTGCATTACCTAGATAGGATAACCTTCCATAACAGGGCCATGCTCTCATTTCCAAGTTGAAGCGTTCACTTCTCTGTTTAGCTTGTTAACTTTTTGTGAAACCCACGCTGAATGCCAAGCTAAGCTAGTCACACCTAGCCTGTTTAAAAATTTTTTAAAGTGTGCTTATTATTGCTAATACCCCAATGCAAAACTAAGCCTGAGAAATACCATTGGGGTACCTCTTGCCTGTTCTTACTCATCACTGCACCCAGCACTGCAAAAATACAAAAAAAATACATACATGTGCACCCTGAGGCAAGTCGCGTTTGCCTAGCAGACTTGGATATTCTGTGGATCACTCTGATCATATTTGGACGCCACTTCACAGTTCAAGGAGTGGAGAAAGAGGTAGGAACGGTTCACAATGGCTCTACTGGGATACCTGTATTCTCGTGGCATTATTGTAATTGCTCATATTTTATTTTTTGCGGCAAATAAGTTAAATATAGTTAAAATGTAGTGCATAACATCACAAGCCTTGCTTGCGATATTCATTGTACAGAGTGTGATATTAATTGCACAAATACTTGTAATTTTCCTACATTTTTGTATGGGAGAGTAGGAATTTGTTTAAAATGTTCAGTTATTCTCTGATGCTGCCTATGAGAGCACCATCAGAGATCAGGCACATATAATTTGAGGGTGAATATTTAATGATTTACTTATTTACTGCTTCTTTATACATTACTTGCAAATAACATTAAACCAAGTCTTCACCTACATCAGTAAGTGTCCTTTAACTTTTTTTTGAAATATTTGTTTGTGTTGCAAGTGCGTCTATGGTGTATTCACTGCATGTTATTATATTAAATATGCTTGAAGTCACATAAAGAACAATATTAAAGGAACACTATAATGTATATATTAAACAATTCAAATGTGTATTCCTAACGTTATAGTATCCTGTAGCCATTTAGCCATTATAGTATCTTGTAGCTCTCCATCCCAACCCAGGTGCATGAAAATATACTTACCTTCTCTTCCTTGTCCCAGTGCTCCTATCACGGCTGGTCCCACCCACAACTGACATAATCAAGAATGATGATCTCAGCCAATCCAATGCTTTCCCATAAGAAAGCATTGGTAGGCTAGTGCGCATGCATGGCAAAATGCTCGCTGCGACAATCAGATGGTCTTTCTGAGCCCATCTGATTGAAATTAATTAAATTTACTTGAATATTTCTGCAGAGGCACCTCTAGTGGCTGTCAGTATGATGGCTACTAGAGGCATTTAAACTTTACAATGTAATTGAGAATAGCAGAATAGCAATGTTTGAGGTTGCAGGGTTAAAACTACATTGAGATGGGCTCGGTGCCTTAGTGTACCTTTAAATACTATTATGTAATTGCTTTTTCTACCTGATGTGACTTAGACCAATTGAATGAACAGAAAAAAAAGAAGAATCATTCATTATTCTCTTTTCAGTTGATGCTAAAAGAGCCTATTTGTCTTAAGACCTAGGATTTCAGCAAACTGAAGCACTGATAGCAATTCGAGGCTGAAGTTCTTGACTTATTAAAAATGAATAATAGATAGTTCTTCAAATTCACTCTTCAACCTCTAGCTTTCCTATCATTGCAGATCCTCCTGATATCCTCAGAGCTGCACAGGTGGCTTCTCCACTAACAATGCTCGATCTGTCAGAATGTTTGAATCACCTATTCATCCACATGTCTTCATGTGAGGGTTTCCAAAACCTACAGGGGGTTCAGAGTAACAACTCTATGAAATTGTATATTTCATCATTTTATATACAGAAGCCTAAAATACCTTTTTTTCTACTAATATGGTTTTTTTATACCAACCTATGTATGTAAATGTTCTAATAAAAATCCATTCAAATGTATGCTGCATGTTATAAGAAAAGAAGTGCCAGTATGTATAGGGAACTATCAGGAAATATCACCAAAAGTTTTTTTTTACTAAAGTGAGCATTTAAAGGGAATTTCAAGGTTAACAACCCTAACTGCTCTGATGCCTCTTGACTGCTCTCTGTAACCTCCTCCTTTGGCCTCATTGGTCACTTGATCTAATCTTCCCCAAAATTGTTCTATTTCCTCTATCTGACCACAATTTGCTGAGCTTTGACATCAGCCCTGCACCCAAATTTTACCAACCTTGGTTTATCAGTTTCTCTGAAACCTCCATTATCCTGACCTACAGCAATTCACCACCAACCTCCAAACTCCTTTTACATATCTCAAACCTCACCTGCTCTAAAACTTCCCTTTACAGCCCCGCCTTCCCCTCTCAACTAGATATCATGGCACCTCCTACTTTTAAACATTGTATGTCGACCTTGGCACACCAAACAGACCTGGTACCTCAATAAATGCTCTAGAACCCCACTTCATCCTTTTTTTTGTACTCCCTCACACCCACTACACCAGAAGATGTCTCAGTTCTGTGTCAGTCCTCCTGTCCCACTACCTGTTCCTTTGATCCTGTTCCTTCACATCTTATTCTCACTCTGTCTCCTTCTCTTGCTCTGCCCCTCACAAAAATATTCATTCTCTCCTCTGTCATATTTCTTTCCCCATCGTAAGCCCAATTCTAAAAAAAGAGTTCTCCACCTCCTGGGCAGTGGATTGGAGGGTAATAAAATAATTGGGGTAATTATAATGGACAGACCAGGGGACTCCCATTCCATTGTTCACATGATTTAGGTGAATAACTGCATCTCTGAATAGGACCATGAGATGCCTAGACCATTTGCACATATACATTTATCATCAAAATTAGTTAGTTCCAGTAAAAAATCAGGTTTATTTACAAACTTTCCCCAAATTGAACTCAAATGGAATCCCTCGCAGCACAAGTATGCAAATCAGGTGTTATTTCAAGTACTCCTGATGCAACTAATCAAGGGCTTCATTAGTTGCACCAGCTGTGCTTGAGCTGGAATAATTAAAATACTTGAACTGGCAAGGGGTTTGTTGAGTGTCACATTTGACTGCATGTTAGTAATATGGCTAAGTTAAAAGAATGGTCCACAAAGTTAAGAGAAGAGATCATCACCCTTCACAAACAAGGAACAGGATACAAAAACACACTGAATGTTCCTAGACACAGCATTGGAAGCATAGTTTGCAAGTTCAAAGTTAAAGGAACAGTGGTTACACTACCTGGCAGAAAAAGAAAGCTGTCAATGGCTGCAACCAGATTTCTGAGAAGCCAGGTTGTGAAAAACCCTTGGTTGACTGCAAAAGACCTGCAGCAAGACTTGGTGGCAACAGGCACTAATGTTTCAGTGAGCACAGCAACGCATATACTAAACAAAGATGGTTTCCATGATCTACACCTCTACTGACCCAAAAGCACAAGAAAAGTCAGCTCCAATGTGCTCAATATCATATAAGTAAGCCACAGAAGTTTTAGTATTCTGCTCTGTGGAGCGATGAAAAAAAACGAACTTTTTGGCCCAATGGATCAGCATGTCTGGAAGAAGAAGAATGAAGACTTATGTCTATCTTCTGTCCGTACTCCCACCTCTGATGCTCGCCTTCAAGATTTCTCGATGGCTGCACCTGTGGAACTCGCTTCCCTCCTCCGTTAGATGCTCACCCAGTCTCCACTCCTTCAAAAAATCGTTAAAAACCCACTTCTTCATAAAAGCGTATCAATTAAACAGTTAATAGCTCCCTACTGATTCCTCTCTTGCAACTGTCATTAGTCTAATACTATCCTTACCTTTTTGTGTCACTTTACCATACTCCCTCTAGCATGTAAGCTCATTGAGCAGGGCCCTCAACCCCTCTGTTCCTGTGAGTCCAACTTGTCTGGTTACAACTGCATGTCTGTTCGTCCACCCATTGTAAAGCGCTGCGGAATTTGATGGCGCTCTATAAATAATAACATAATAATAATAATACACTAAAATACACTGAATACACTGAAAAGAACACTCTGCCTACAGTTAAGCATAGGGGTGGCACGGTGATGCTCTGGGGCTGCTTTGCATCCTCTGGCACTGGAAACCTGCAACGTGTGGAAGGCAAGATGGATCCATTGAAGTATCAGAAAACACTAGGAGAAAATGTCATGCCGTCTGTGAGGAAGCTTGGGCATCATTGGAAATTCCAACACGACAATGCTCCCCAATCTATATTTTGACCGCCAGATAGAATATCTCTCATCAAAACGTTATCCAAAACTAGGTGCCCTGTACAGAAACAAATCCTGCCTAAGCCCCACAGTAAAGGAAAAAATTGTACAGAAAATGCTAATGCCAGTCATTGATTATGGGAATGTAGTGTATGCACCTATACCACAAAACCACCTTAATAAACTTACTACATTGTATAACTTCTGCTGCTTTGTGCTACAATGTAATTACATGACCCATCATTGTGACATGCTAAAAGAGCTAAACTGGCTATGGCTGGACTCCAGACACATTCTTCATATTTCCAGCCTTGTGTTTAAGAGCTTTTCTGGGAAGCTCCCACCCTACCTTAGCAGAATGCTCTCCCCAGCTGTTCTCACCTCCTTTAGCCTCCGAAATGATACCAGCAATTTATTTAGTCTACCTCAATACAAAAAAAAAAGCAGGTCGATCTTTGTTTTTCTACACCACAATTATGGAACGACCTCCCGCACACTTTCAAATCTTTCCCCAGCCTAAAATCCTTTAAAAGATTCCTCTCTACATATCTCAAAACAGCACCTGTCATGGTTGATATATTTCTTACCTGTTGTATGTTACATTTTGTATATATTGTGTATTAATATTGTTTTCTGTATTCTAGTGTACCCTGTTGTAACAGTGAAATCTTTTGTGGACCCAAGACATACTTGAAAACAAGATAAATCTCGATGTATCCTGGTAAAATATTTTATTTATAAAAAAAAAAAATT